TCACCTGTGGAGGCCGAGGCTGCTCGGAAACCGCCCACTGTCAGGTGGAGGAGCAGGGTGGAGGAGAGGTCCGAGCGAGGAAGGAGGGTCCTGCACAGCCCCAACCACCCTGTTCTGTCCTTACCGGCCCAGCATTGCTGGGTCCAACCGTCACCAGCCGCCAGCGAAGCTTCAGCAAAGCAAGAATTTGAAGGCAAACTCTCCAGACTCACTTCCGGTGCCGGGAGTGGCCTCGGCAACTCCTGCGCACGCTGGGCGACGCCCGGGAGCGAGGACGCCGGACGGCGCCTGCGTGTGGCGGGTGCGGAATGGGCGGGGCCAATGGAGGCGCAAGCGGGGCAGGGGTGCGCCTGCGCTGTCCATGCCGCGGGGAGGGTGGACAGTTGGGGTGCTTATTAATGATTTACACAAGCATTGAATACCACCATATCACGTACTTCACTATGTTTTTTCAAATGTTTGCTCACCTTTCCTCCCATTTGATTTTCACCACATTCTTCATAAGTTAGGAAGTCAGTGTCTTGTTTTATAGGTGAGTGTAAAGGGCCAAATTCATTTATGACAAATTCTGTTTTAGAACCAAATACTCAGAATTTGAGGCGCTTGTCACGACAAAACATGGATAAAATAGGGAGTAGGTAAATAAAGATATCCAGACAAGCTGCTGGTGGTTTTTTGTCAACATTTTTATACAACCAAATATTGATAAAATTACAATGTTCCACAGTTTCCTACATACTTAACAGACCTGTGCTTCCTCCAGTATCAGTCTCCATCCTGTACCTTCACCCACAAAAGGAATAGAAGCATTGAAGACACGTTTTCCTTTAGGAGTGCATGGTATTAAAAATCTAATTTTAAAACATTGCAGTAATTTAAAAGACTGAGTCTTTTAAATTTTTAACAATGGGGATGAATATGATGAATTAGAGAAAAATATACAAGGTAAAATAACTGAATTTCATGATTGATTGCATGGGAGATGGTCAAAGTACAAAATGACCTCCTTAAATTGTTTTGCAAATTAGATTAAATGCTGATACAAATTATACACTGTATTAGTTAGGGTATAGGTTCAGGAGGAGTAACAAATGGATATATTGTGTTTGCTCCATCAGAGTGGACAGAGAGCTCCGCTTCACACAATCTTTCAGGTAACTAGATTCTAGTCATTTTGTTGATCTAACTACAAAGTAGTAGGGTGTTTTCCTACTTTTTAATGGTCAACATGAAGTCACCACTCTGTTCTTCCTTCCTGTGGGAAGAGGGAAGGAACAGTGTAGGGCACACACTATCGACTTTTAAGTGTGTGAAGTGGAATTTACACATGCCATGTCTGCTCACATGCCAATGGCCAAAATCTTGTCATGTGGCCACACCTAGTACAAGGGAACATGAGAAACATGGGCTCCAGTGGGGCAGTCAAAACGTGGACAGGGATGAGGGCCTTACTAGTGAAGGGAAGAATGAAAGGATGGATACTCGGGAACAAGAGTAGTCTTGTCATTAGTCAACCCCTCTGGGAGATAAGCAATCATGAGGACCCCCTTTTCCACCAAATGTAACCCCTCTCCAGGGGAAACAACTCAAAGTCCTAACCAGATTCTGAATCCAGTAAAATGTTCAGGATCTCTAGGTGACTCAAAGGAAGGAGGAAAGAGTGGAGCCTGGAGAAGACTATAAATGCCTATGTTTCAAACACAAATGGTACACATATGCAGATACATTGTTTTGCTTTGGCATAACAAGGTATACTTACAACTTTAAGCACGCTAAACTTGGCCCCCCCCATAGTAAAGTAAGTCATAAAAACAATGCAATGTGCATCAGCTATAAAATGCTCACAATGTAGACCAAATATAATTTTACAAGGGAGTGAAAACAAGAGGATTAGAATGATGGTAATGCTTGAAGATGGTGGGGGAGAACCCTAAATATTTATTCCTCTGTGTAAAGTTAAGATATAACATCAATATATGTATTTTACCTGGTAGGCAGTTCATCTAACAAAGGGTTATAAAAACAGGTTAACCAACAACTTCACATTTTAAAAACTAATCTGTATTCAAATGATACTACATGCAGAGATTAAGAATTAAAAAGGTTTAAATCTGTGTTGATCTAAAGGAAGCCTTTAACATGGAATGTTTGTTATACTTATGTTGCACAAAATGAAAATATTTTACTGGGTTATACTAACCCTGTTCAGTTTGCTTTAATCTAACTAGGTATTATTATTAGTTAAATATATTTTTAACTTCAAAGCATCAAATTTTTAATCATATTTTTTTGAGAATAAAAAGATTAAAATAAACTTTTGAATAAAAATATCAACATACTTAAGTGGCTTAAGAGTCAGCTTTCCACACATAATTGAAAGATTTGAATTTTGATTTTTTATTATCCCAGAAAATGTTACACTAGATAAAATGATTGGGAAAATACAAATAGATTCATTAAAAATACAGGCTGATTATTCATATTTACTACATTCAAACATATGCAAAACAATTTAGTTATATTGCAAAGCTGTAATTCCTTTTCCTAACAAAGCATTATTTTATAAAATTGTAGTGTTGTATTGATTAAATTTTAATACAAAATACTTATATATACAATACAAAAAGTAAACTGTGGTATAGTGCCTTCCACAAAGGGATATATTAAGGCGCTTTACAAATATAACAATATGTTGACCCAAATTACTTTCTGTTTTAGATTAAAACAAACAGGCTATTGTTCCATTTTAAATACCAAAGGGATTTTTATTTTTGTTTATTAAGTTTCTAAAGTACCTTAGGTAACAGCAGCAGCAATATCTAAAAATCCTCCCACTGTATTTTCTAATTTCTAACATATTATTAAGTCAGAAAAAAAATTTCCACTCACAGTTTTGCACTTTGCAACAGCAGAAGGTAATCACTTTTTTAAAAAGTCAATCTCAAAGTGACTTCTTAGTCATACATTCTAGTTTCTATCACAAATAAGGTAGAAAAGATACAGCAATAGGTCCTGCCTTAGAATGTCACTGAACAATACATAACAGTATCTACAATTACATAATTATAGAACACATTTTATAAATACTATTGATATGCATAAAAGGGGTAAGTATAACAAAGTAAATTTTTAATGAGTGGGAAAATTTTAAAAAAGAAAACATGTATAACCAATGTTTTCACTCCATTTCAACTGAAAGCTTATCAGCTTTTTGATGTTCATATCTTTTTGGTCAGGAAGCACCAGATTCTGTACTGGAAGAACTGGATATAGTTTGGGAATAATAGAGCTACCAACTTAAAACTACAGATACTCAAGGCTCATACACAGCTTCAGATAAACACAAAAATCTTATACTGTCAGAGGAAATTTCAAAAGAATACAAAATTTAGTGTCTGTTACATTTGAGAAATAAGGGCAACAGATTTTGTGGGGAAGCAGCGGGGAGTAGACATAACCTTAGATTTCCCACAACATAAATGTAAGAGTTGGTTTTGTATTGTATCCACCAAAGTGCGTAAGTAAAACAGCTAAATGGAAATTTAAATGTTACTGAGAAAGCCCAAGAGAAAGAAGAATGTCTTGAAAACTTGAGTACCAAACTAAAATTTCTTGAACTAAATTGTTTTGCATTGACTTTTATAGAACTAATCAAATGTTCCATGAAGACTGCCATCTCATAGTGCATTATCTTACAGTTCTCTGATTAGAAGTCTTTCAGAAATATTTCTTTATTAAGCCAAACATGTCCGTGCCCCCAAAAGGGTGCATTTCTAATGTCTTAGCACTGCACCAGCGAGAGAGGCATTCGTAGGGATATCCTATCACATGGTACAGGTCTTTTACATTACAAATTATCACTGTTTATACAAGATATGCTAATCTGAACACTAATCAGTAAATTTAAAGCAAAGTTCTTAGTTTAATATATCAGTGTATTTATAGGACAGAGATCCTTAACCAAGGGTTTATGATAGGTTTCAACAGATCCAGAACCCCTAAAACTACACACATTTTATGTGTATGTGTTGATGTCCATTTTTCTGGGAAGATTGTCCACAGCTTTCCTCAGATTTCTAAAAGGACCAATGATCCCCAAAGATGCCCCCACCCCATTACACAGTGGGTTGTACCATGGTTTATATGCTGTGCTCTGAGAGGGCCACCTATAGAAAGGTGACAACTGTAAGTTAATAAATCTCCTTTGCCCTCCCCAATTCAACTGGAACACTTATGACTTGACTTTACTTATGTATATGATATCCATTAGCTTTCATATAAAGGAAACTAAAAGTCTGAAAAACACTAACATTATGCCTCTTATGCCAAATATTGTTTTGATAAAATTATCCGTGGATCTTAACAAAAAGAAAATACACCTTTTACTAATGTAGTAGAGTCCTTTTCCTCATCCTAAAAAATAAACTACCATATTTTGCTGTGTATAATGTGCACTTTTTTGCCCACATTTTTGAGGGAAAAATAAGGATGCACGTTATATATGGATATAATGGTTACATACCATGGGTATAATAATCCCATGTATAATGTGCACAAAAACATGGCTGTGCATTATATATGGAGCGCATTATACATGGCAAAATACGGGTAAATGTATTTTGGTATGAGACCATAAGTCTTCTCGAAACCTATATAATAGAAATCCTCCAAAATGTATTTAACCTTAAGTTAGGAGGACTTAAATTTCAAGTAGGGCCACTATGCAACTTCCCCTAATTACTAATGGCCACCTTAATTAAGAACTAAATAATAATTAATTTTCTTACCAATATACCCATAGGTAAAATATTGCCAAATAGCCATTTTCCTTTCCCAATAAATAATCCATGTATGCAGCACTGTTCTGAAAGAGGAAAGCAGTAACATTACTGATGATAAAATCAAAACTGTCACAATATAGAAAAAGTACTATTCTAGGAGTACCCACAAATAATTTCTAATCAAGATGTCATATGAAACTGAAAACAATCACTCTGCTTAGGATGGTGGAAACCATTTTGTAAATTGTGAAGTAAAAATACGGAAGATCTTAGCTCTTAGTATAAAAAATGGCAGCTATGTTCCCCTTTATGAACTGGAAGCAGTAGAAACAGCAAATGGTGGGAATTTTTAGTAAATAGATGCAAACATGTAGTTGATAAGATGAAAGGAGCCCTCATGCTTGATGTAAATATGTATCCACAAATACAGTCAGTCTTCTCCAGTAAGGTACTGATGTATTTCCCAAGATAACTATGGATAGACTGCAGAAGAATATGCTGTTAGTGGTTTTAATTTCAAAGCAAACTAATTTCTGAAGGTAAAGAAAGGAGGCCTAAAAAGTCTTCTCAGAGTAGCAATCTAACATATACAGGAATCTCTAAAACAAGTATCAAGAAAAATTCAAGAACTGGGATTCTGTGAAATAACATTCTGACTGTAATCATCTACAACACTTCGACCCAAATAGTAAAAATTTCATAAAATGCAAAAAGAAAAAAGAAAAAAAAACACCCCACCTGGAAGCAGCATTAAAAATACCAATGTGGAAAGAAAAAAATGGTAGTGCTTTGCTTCTTTTAATGCCAGTAATTCTTGAGAAACAAATGCTAGATTAAATATTCCACAGAGGGAAAAAAATGAAGTTTATCTATTTTTCCCTTGTGATGAACATACTATTTCAACCCTGTCAACCCTGTATTTCTTAGTTTCAAGATGTGAATTATACAGAATATTAGCCTAGGAAAACTCACCACCATGATGGCTTAATTTCTATAGCTTATTTTGTACCAAAAACAAGGCTATGGGAGGGGGGAAAAGCTTTGTAAATGTGGGGCATATTTCATATTTGGTTAAAGCAAAATAAAACTAAAACTGTCTTTCAAAAACCTTTCAAAAACTCTTGTCTTTTAAAATTATTTAGCATATGTACAAATAGATACCAGGCTTCTCCTTTTTAAACAAAGCACACTATTTTTTTTTTTTCAGTACTTTAAGTACCAAGAACTGGCTATGATACTCAGTTCATAATTTACTTTATAACAATTTTTTTTCTAAATTACTGATTATAAACGCTGGAATAAATTAACATTTTAAAAGGATTTCCCATAATTTAGGAATATAAAATATTGTGCACAGAGCACACACACAGCTCTGTCACATTTGCATAATTTTACCCTTAGAGCCTCAAAAATCCCTGCATTTCAGGCCTTCTTAAAAATCCTCATTACAATTATTTCCTAGTGTATTAAACATACACTAGATCACGATTTTTGATCTCTGAGCCTGTGTGCTGATCATCTTCATCTGACTGGTGCTCTGAGACTTGTGAATTAATATATTCATATTCAATGGGCTTTGGATAATTATATGGGTAGCCATTGTCATCAAAAAACCTCCTAAAGGTAAATTCATAGAAAGCATGTTCAGGGTGCTTTCCATTTTTATACCATCCATTCAGAGTGTCATTTACATTTTCTTCCTCATTATCATCACTCCATAACTTATCAGGATCAACAGGATCAAAATTTGATGTATCTGTTGGATGTGTGATTTTAGGAATGTATGAAGCAGGCTGTTGTCTCAGGTCACTAGAGAAATCAATTGTTTTAAAAAATGGATGAGCTTTTATTTCATCAGCACCATTCTTGCCCAAGCGATCTTCTGGTCCTCGGCAAAGTTTAATTATAAGATCAGAGGCTTCAGGACTCAGTTTAGCTTGTGGTGGAATGTGAAGAGATGTTTGCCAGTTGATAACCTTTAAAGAAGATTTTTAAAAATTAGGAGGGAATTGATAAGAAGACCAAAATTTTCTCCAACTTTTATACCAAAAAGTCTTACTGGACTATATGTAAATTTTAAAAATAAACTGCATTGTATTTCAATTTCCTTACCTTTAAAAATGAATTATTGGTGGGAAATAGCCTTTCAGCTCATTCCCTCCTCTTCAGGCAACTTATAGTCATATTGGAAGACTCACTGTAAGTTTTAACACTGCTCGTAGAAATAACTATTTCTACTGTGCCTGCCCTGTTCTATATATTTGTTTCGTAATGTCTCTAATGTTTTGTGGGACCTGTTTATGTCTGTGCCCTTCTACTACAGTATGAAATTCCATAAGGCTATAGACCATGTTTTGTCTTTGTGGTCTTCCTACAGCTTGGCCAATTGCCTGGCATATAATAGATGTTGAGTAAATGTTTATTATAGTTTTAAATAAACCAGAATGAAAGAGGGAAGGAGGGTAAGAAAAAGGGAGGAAGGAAGGGAAAAAAGGGAAAGAAGGAAGGTAATAGTAAATACTTGTTAAATGAATGAATAAATGAACCGCATCCTCCCTGTTCATAGAGGACCTTATCAGCTACAGTAGAGGGAAGAAAAATAAACCTCCTCTTCTAGTATCTGTTCATCTTAAAGTTTTTCTCCCACGTAAGAAAAAGGTGATGCCTCAACTAATAAAATGTCTTTGACTTTTTTGGGAAAAAAATCATGATACAGTTGTAGCTATTTATGCTGGTTCCATCACCTACTTCAAAGAGGAAAAATACATATATACAAACAGCTAGACAAAATCTTTCCTTTGAAGTTACATTCAGGAGTTTTTAGTTTAAGGTAAAAATAAAAAAAGACTAGGCAGAGCAAATAAAAAAGACTCAGTTTACTCAAAGATGGGTCAATAAAAATTAATGTAAACTGAAACACAGAGAGAAAAAATGAAAAAAATAAAGCATGAGACACGTAAGACAGTATCAAATGTCTACCATATGGGTGTATACTAAACTAATTAGAGTCTAAGAAGGAGAAACAGAAGCAGAAGAAATCTTTGAAGAGCAATGACAGGGAACTTTCCAAATTTGATGAAGATTCATCAACCTACAATTCAAGATGCTTTATGAACCTCAATCAAGATAGATAAAACTTCACATGGGCACATAATGGCGAAATTGCAGAAAATCAAAGTTAAAGAGAAAAAATCCTAAAAGCAGCCAGACAGAGAGGAAGGTCCCAGTTCTGAGTCAAATGTAATAGGTGTACTCTGCCCTGTCTTTCATACTGAATGAAGCTCTACAACCTGAACAGAATGCACAGAGCAGTTACTTGAGGACCCTGAAAAGTAAAGGGTAACAGGAGACTGCGGAAGAAAATAAGAATTTGAGGCACCCCAATGAACTGGTGGTGTGTTTACCATTTTTTCCATTAGAATCCCCAGTATAGACTCAAGGTAGCCCAAACCTTGAAGACGTATAATACAGCGTAAGCTCTAGGAAAAGTCCTTCTAGTTTAGGCTCAGATATTGGGAAAGAGGTTTCCTGGACACAACAGAGGTACAAAAATGCTACCGGAAACTATGAGAGAAGGGACCCTTCCTATTCAATTGGAAATTAAATGCAATCCCATGAGGATGGATCGAATCCCTGTCACTTTTTCCCTGAGTGTGCTCTCGCTACCTTGTCCTGGATGCAGGCACAGTCATGAGACATGTATGTGGCAGAGTAGGGTAAATTAAGCCTCACTTTCTAGTCTGAACGGAAGGAACTGAAAAGGGAACCCTGAAGGAACTGGAAGGTACCAGGAACATGGCAGAGGCGGAGGAGACTGTAAAGTTATTTACAAACTGTTAGGCTCACCTCTCAGCTGTACCTGTACAGATTTAATCATAAAGAACGTATCAAAAACTCTGAGAACTGAACTAGGGAAAAGACCGCAGCTGCAGAAATCTGCCTAGCAATGTAAAGGCATTGACAATGAAACAGACATTGAAGTCCTAAGCCACAGAAGGTAACTTGTGGACTGAATCAAATCCGGTTTAATGGCTGCCAAAACATTACCAACATTCTCCATACATTTAAACATGACTCAGAGTCCCATAACATAATATTCAAAATATCCAGGATACAATCTAAAGTTACTTGGAATACCAAAACCATGAAAATTTCAACCCACATAGAAAATCAATAGATGTTAGTATTGAGATGATACAAATTTTAGAATTATCTGACAAAAATTTTAAAGTAGACATTACTAACATGTTCTAAATAAAGATGAATACTCTAAAAATGAAATGAAGACAAAGTCTCAGTAAAGAAATTGAAGATATGAAGAGGTACCAAATATAAATTTTAAAACTGAAAAACATTATAATCAAAATAAAAAACTCAGTGGATGGGCTCAACAGAATGGAGATGTCAGAAGAAAATGAACTTTAAGCTAGATTGATAGAAATTCTGCAATTTGAACAGAGAGAAAAAAAGTTTAAAAATATAGTCCTCAGTAGTCTGTAGGGGTATACCAAAAGGTCTAACATTGGTATCTAATTAAGAGTTCCAAGGGGAAAAAGTGTATGATATAGGAAAAATATCTGAAGAAATGTTGGCTGAAAACTCCCCAAATTTGACAACAGATGAACCTATAAATTCAGGAAGCTCAGTGAACACCAAACAGGGTAAGTTCTAAGAACACCATGCCTAGACACTGCATAGTTACAACACTGAAAGAAGCCAGTGAAAAATGATGCATTACCTAAGGGAACAACGATTTGAATGACTGTAAATTTCTCATCAGAAATTCTGGAAGACAGAAGGAAGTGGGTATTTAAAACTTATTTTTTAGTCCTCACCTGAGGACATTTTTTTCACTGCTTTTAGAGGGAGAGAGGGGAATGAAAGGAGAGAGATACAGAGAGAGGAACATCTATCAGTTGCCTTCCCTTACATGCCCCTACTGGGAATCAAACCCACAACCTGGGCATGTGTCCTGACTGGGAATCAAACACATGACTTTTCCATCCACAGGACGATGTCCAATCAACTGAGCTACACTGGCCAGGGCAAGAAAAGGATATTCAAAGTGCTGCTAAAACTGAAGCCCAGAATTCCATACCAATACCTTTCATTGCGTTGACTGTGTCTTTGGCAGACTGAACATTTTTACGTTTTATAAAGTCCAATTTCTCAGCTTTTTCTTTTATGGATCATGATTTTGGTGTCATTTCTAAGAGCTCTTCACCCAACCTCAGGCCATAAAGATTTTCTCTTCTATTTTCTTCTAAAAGTATTATAGCTTTGTTTTACGTCTGTATCTATTTTGAGTTAATCTTTGTCTAAGGTGTGACATTTACATCAATGTTCAGTATTTTTTGTATATGGCTAATCAATTTTTCCAACACTTTAGTTGAGATACTATCCTTCCTCCATATGCACCTTTGTCAAAGATGAAATGGCTATATTTGTATGGTCCTATTGCTCCATTCTCTACCTGTCCCACTGATCTATGTGCATTCCCTTTTGCCAACATTATACTGTCTTTATTATTATAACTTTATAGTAAGTCCTAAAAAGTTGAATTTCTCTCTTTGTTCTTTTTAAAAACTGTTTTCTTTCTTCCGATTCCTTTGTCCACCCACAAAAACTTTAGAATAGGCTGATCTATATCTAAAAAATTTCTGCTGGAAATTTTCCTTGAAACTGAGTTAAATATAAAAATTTGGGGGGGAAGAATTGACAGCTTTACTATGCTGAGTCTTTCAATCCATCAACACAGTATGTATCTCCATTTCTTAAGATCTTCCTTGGTTTCTTTCATTAACTTACAGCTTTCAGCACACAGATCTTGTTCATGGTCTATTAGATTTATACCCAAGTATTTCATTTTGGGAAAACTACTGTAAATGGTATTGTTTTAAAATTTCAGTTTCTAGTTGTTTTGTTCTAGTTGATAATTTATGGATTATCCTTATATCCTACAATCATGCTAAACTCAGTTCTACAGGTTATGTTTCTTTGATTCCCTGGGATTCTCTATATAAAAAATTGTGTCATCTGTTGAATGTGGGAAGTTTTTATTTCTTTCTAATCTATATGACTTTAATTTCTTTTTGTTGTTGTACTGCACTGGCTAAGACTTCCAGAACAATGTTGAATAAGACTGGTGAGAGCAGACATTCTTGTTTTCTTGATCTTAGAAAGCATTCAACTTTCCACAGACATATACACACATTTTCTTATATATACATATTAAACTGAAGGTAAAATAAAGACACTTTTAGACAATCAAATCTGACACAAAGCTGAGAGAATGCATTACCAGTAGACCTGTACTTAAAGAAATTCTAAAGGAATTTTTTAAATAATATATTAAATGCAATGACAAGTAGTTACAAGTTGGTGGGGAGCATTATAGAACAGATGATATCTCAAGACACTTAAAGAATGATTAAAAAGAATCAGAAAAACAAATAAAAAAACATGATCAGGAGTTACCCAGGCTTCAGAAAGAGGGGAGAGTTGTGGAAGATGGGGGAGAAAGGACAATTCAAAGGGAATGGTGTGAACAAAGATAGAGAGGACATATTTGGACTTTAAGCCATTAACCAGGGAACCACTAAAGGATTTTTAATGAGACATTTTATAGTAAAAACTGTAGACAGCTTCTCATTTAAATGCCAGAGGTAATTTCAAGTGTAGGTACAGTAGTCCCCTTATTTGTGGGAGATGTGTTCCAAGATCCCCAGTACATGCTTGAAACCACGGATAGTACTGAACCCTATATATACTATGTTTTTTCCTATACATACATACTTTTCTCACCTAAAGGAAGCACTTTACACTTTCTCTTTGGTCTTTCTGAATTGCCAGTATCACTACTCTTGTGCTTGGGGGCCATTATTAAGTAAAATAGGGGATATGTGAATGCAAACACTAAGATACCATAGTCGCTCTGATAACTGAAATGGCTACCAAGTGACTGACAGGTGGGTAGCATATACAGCATGGATACGCTAGACGAAGGGATAATTCACGTCCCAGGTGGGATGGAACAGGACAGCACAGGATCTCATCACACTCTTCAGAATGGGGCACAATTGAATACTTAACAGTCACTCATTTCAGAAATTTTCCATTTAATATATTCAGGCTATCGTTGACCGCAGGGAACTTAAAACACAGGAAGTTCAACAGCAAGTAAGGAGGGTCAACTGAATAGACACTTGTTTGTAGTTTCGGGCTAGAATGTGCATGGAAAGAAATGAAGCCAGAAGCCAACAGGTGACAAAGAGTAAATTGAAATCTGCAAAATATACTAAAGATTTCTATGAAAATGAAATACGAGTATAGTTTATGAGTGTGGGAAAATATGGGAGTGTGATGTTGGAATGATGAAGACTAGAATTCATGCATTGAATCTTAGTGGGTTCCTATATCCTGACAAGTTCATTCTTTAATTCCAAAATAAGACATTAAATGTAAAAGGGCTGACAAACATCTATGGTATAAAGGACTTTGTGACAATTCTCTTGGTATAGATTCTATACTTTACCTTCATTTGCGTTTCTAATGGAGTTTGTGCCAAGAAAGGAGGCTGTCCCACCAACATTTCAAAAAGAATTACACCAACACTCCACCAGTCACATAATTGTGTATAGCCTAAAATAAGATAGCAAAGTTAGAGTATAGTTATTCATAAGCACTTTTCAAAAAGTGTCCAGAATACTATCAAAATTAATATTAAATCAGCAATTTATAGTGTAAAAATTAACACTTTTATTATAAACCTCAAAAATAAGCTATATTCTAATTAAGTTTCAGCTGGAGATTATTTATAAAACAAGTGTTTTTACCTGTCCGTAGCAACACTTCAGGAGCAATGTAATTGGGAGTCCCAACCAAAGAGTGTGCCAGACATCGTTGGTGCTGGCGTGCAGCTCTCCGCTCTAGTGGCTTCAGTCTATCTCCACATCGACAGTTAGAGGGGTCACCCCATTCGCTACTGAAATCCATGCTATCTTGCCGTGGATGGTCACCTATAAAGTAAAATAAAGAAAAAAGAAATAAAAGCAACAAAAACAAGAGTAAACCTAGAGTCTATTTAATTTGTTCACATCATGCTTTACAGTTATCAGCACTCTCCCCTTATGACAAGCTAAGATACAGTGTACACCAAATCACTCATAGTATTTATAAATGACTGAAGCCTGTTATCTGAGATATCAATAGGAGGACAAGTTTTACACTAAGAAAAATTAGCCCAAGATTCAGTAATGTAGTCAATGTTAAATAACGATAAAGGCACGAGTAGAGAGATTTAAGAATCAGACTACTCCCTATTATTACTCTGGACAAACTTTCAAACAGATCAATGTTTCATTCATTCAACAAGTGACAATGATAAATAAGAAAGATAAGGTTCTTTTCCCAGGCAGCTTCTCTGTAGGGAAGAAACACAACAAACACATACATACATAAGAAACACAGTGATGCACCCCATGTTGAGAATGAACTGGGGTGATGTGAAAAATTGAGGCAACATTTGAAAAAAAAAAACAAAAAACAAATCGGAATCAACCATTTGAAAACCAGGGCAAGGGATATGTGTCTAAGGCTTCTGGCCAAGATGGAGCATAGGTAGATACACTTCAATCCTTGCACAACCAAAAGAAGGACAGCAACCAATTTAAAAACAAAAAACAACCAGAAACTGCCAGAAAATCAAACTGTATGGAATTCCAACCACCAAGGAGTTAAATAAGAAACATTCTTCCAGACTGGTAGGAGGGACGAAGACTGACAGCAAGGGCAGAGAAGACACCAGCAAGGCTGTGGCTGGTGACCGGGCAGTCCCACATTCATGTGTGGATAAACCTGGAGGAACAACTGGGGAGCGAGACAGACCACGAACCCCCCAGGATTCGAGCGCGGGGAAATAAAATTTCAAAACCTCTGGCGGTAAAAACTTGTGGGGGTTGCAGCAGCAGGAGAAACTGCCAGTCTCACAGAAGAGTCTGCTGAAGGGACCCACAGGGTCCTAGAATGGTACACAAACCCACCCACCTGAGAATGAGCACCAGAAAGTTGCAAATCGTTTGTGGGCAGTGGGGGAAGTGACTGAAAGCCAGCTAAAAGCCAAGCAAGTGGTATTGTTCCCTCTCAGATCCCTCCCCTACAGACAGGGCCACAATGCAGCAGAGTGGGTTGCCCTGCCCTGGCAAGTACCCAAGGCTCCGCCCCTCCCAATGTAACAGGCGCGCTGAGACAAAGAAATATTGCCCAAAGGAAAGAACAGATCAAAACCCCAGAAAGAATTAAGAGGCAAGGAGATAGCCAACCTGTCAGATGCAGAGTTCAAAACACTGGCAATCAGGATACTCACAGAAATGATTTGAATACAAACGCAAAATAAAGGAAGAAGTGAAGGCTACACAAAGTGAAATAAAGAAAAATATACAAGGAACCAACAGTGAAGGGAAGGAAACTGGGACTCAAATCAACGAGTTGGAACAGAAGGAAGAAATAAACATCCAATCAAAACAGAATGAAGAAACAATAATTCAAAAAAATGAGGAGAGGCTTAGGAACCTCTGGGACAACTTTAAACTTTCCAACATCTGAATCATAGGGGTGCCAGGAGGAGAAGAGGAAGAGCAAGAAATTAAAAACTTATTTGAAAAAATAATAAAGGAAAACTTCTCCAATCTGGAAAAGGAAACATACTTCCAGTAAGTATGGGAAGCTCAGAGAGTCTGAAAGAAGTTGGATGCAAGGAGGAACACACCAAGACACATCATAATTACATTACCCAAGATTAAACATAAGGAGAGAATCTTAAAAGCAGCAAGAGAAAAGGAGACAGTTACCTACAAAGGAGTTCCCATAAGACTATCAGCTGATTTCTCAAAAGAACCCTCATAGGCAAGAAAGGGCTGGAAAGAAGGATTCAAAATCATGAAAGGCAAGGACCTACATCCAAGATGACTCTATCTAGCAGAGCTATCACGCAGAATGGAAATGCAAATAAAGTGCTTCCCAGATAAGGTAAAGTTCATGATCAACAAGCCCTTATTATATGAAATGTTAAAGGGGCTTATCTAAGAAAAAGATCAAAACTATGAACAGTAAGATGACAACAAACTCACAATTATCAACAACTGAACCTAAAGACCAACCAACCAAAAAAAACTAAGCAAATAACTACAACAGGAACAGAATCACAGAAATGGAGATCACATGGGAGAGTTATCAGCAGGGAGAGGGAGGGGGGTGAATGGGGAGGAAAGGTACAGGGAATAAGTAGCATAAATGGTAGGTAGAATAGACAGGGGGAGGTTAAGAATAGTATAGGAAACGGAAAAGCCAAAGAACTTATATGTATGACCCATGGAGATGAACTAAGGGGAGGCGGGGAATGCTGGAGGAAGGAGAGGTGTAGGACGGAAGGGGATAAAAGGGAGAAAAAAATGGGACTACTGTAATGGCATAATCAATAAAACATACAAAAAAAAAAAACAGAGCAAGGCATTCTATACAGAAACAACAGTAACAGAGAGAAGAATGATGAGAAAAGAGGAGAATGGTAGGAAATGGAGTGGAAGCCAGTGGATTTTTGTAAGCAAAAGATATGGTTTACCTTTCACTCCAAGTACAGTGGGGAGATACTGGAGAGTTTGAAGCAAGAAAATGGTAAGACTTGATTTATGTTTAAACAGACTATAAGGGAGGACAAGGGTGAAAAGAGACCAAGTTAAGAGGTTATTCCAGTTAAGCTTGGACTATGAGGGTCACAGTGTAAGAGAAAAAAGCAAACAGATTCAGGATATATGAAGAGGTGGAGTGAGAAGGACTTACTGATGGAGTTAGATATACAGGGTATGGGGGAAAAAGAATCAAGGATGACTAAGTGGGTGGTGGTGGTGGTGGTGGTATAATTTACTAAACTGGGGAAGACTGGAGGGAGAACAAATAGAGAGAGGGAGAAATTAAGAGTTGTTTACTGGTATATAGTTCAGTTAGAAATCCATGTGAAAGGGAGACGCCATTTCTAGAGAAATTTAGAAGTCACTGACATAGAGAAGGTATTTAAAGCCATAACTAGATGAAATCACCTAGAAAAATGTACCTAAAATTAACCTAGCTGTAATAATCATCTGGGATGTTTGCTCAAAATATGATGTCTACCCTCCAGTGAAGATTTATAATCAGCAGACTGGAATAGAGCCTACAAATCATATTTTCAAGAACTCAAAGTAATTCAGGTAAATTTGGGAGGCATTATATTACATTAAGCCGAACATTAAAGTAAGTGCAGGTGGCTCAGTTCTATCTATTTATTGTCAATCTATTTGTGTTCACAGAAGCACAGAAGACTAATACTTACCTCAGAGGATTGCTGTAAACATTAAATTAGAATACATGTAAAGCACCTAGTCAGAGTAAGTATTCAACAAATGTCAGATCGACTTACACTTCCATTAGCGCTTGAAGGGATCTTGGTGAGGCACTGTGGTGTAGTAGAAATAACATGGGCCCTGTAATCAGACAAACCTGGGTTCAAAGCCTAGCCCTTACACTTATTTTCTGTCTGACCTTGGGCAAGTTAAGTTACTTCGTCTAACCAAGCCTTCATTTCTTTATTCTGCCTCATAATGACGTTGTGAGGATTAAACAGAATCATGTACGTAATGTATTCAAGGTTAAGTAAGTTGTGTAACAGTCATACAGTGGAATCCTAAATAACAGTGAAAATAAATGTTACATGCAATTAACACAGAGGAACCTCAAACATAAAGGTCAACACAGAAGAATACAGAGAATGATTACATTTAAATAAAGATTCCAGAGTAGGCAGAAAAAAAAGTACATTGTTTAGGGATATATACATATGTGGTAAAAAATATAAAGAAAAGAACTGATTACAAAGCTGAGATAATGATTACCCCTGTGGAGGAAAGAAGGGGAAGTGATGGGGTTTCAAAAGGTACTGACGAGCTGGTTCTTAGGCTGAATGGTGGGTATGAGGCTTCATTTAAAATTATTTTTTAAATGTTATCTGTCTGACATGTTTCAAAACAACAAAACATAGAGTGGTTAACTCAAAAACATTACTGACATTTAGAAATAATTGAATCTAACACACTCTCATTTTATAATGAAATTCTAATTTATAAGTCTAAATGCCTGCAGGATTCACCCATGGTTATCCAACAGAGTCAAGATCTGACCCAGGACTTCTGCGTCCTATCCAGTGATACCATCTTCTATTTTACTGCATTGATAAATCATATTAATATGTACAAATTTTATGATTTTACTCACCACTCTGATAGTACTTAGAATCATGTGTCCATCTGAAGCCAGTGCAGAGGCCGAAGTCAGTCAATTTAATATGACCATCACGATCAATCAAAATGTTATCAGGTTTAATATCTCTATGAATAAAACCCATTTTATGAACACTTTCAACTGCACAGGTAAGTTCTGCTATGTAGAATCGTGCCAGATTTTCTGGAAAGATGCCCATTCTAATTAGTAAGCTCATCATATCACCCCCAGGAATGTAGTCCATGACAAAGTATAAATTGTCCTTATCTTGGAATGAATAATATAGACGAACTACCCATTCATTGTCAGCTTCAGCGAGGATATCTCTCTCAGCTTTAACATGAGCAACCTGATTTCGAAGCAGAACATCTTTCTTTCGAAGAGTTTTTGTTGCATACAATGCCTTAGTATCCACTTTTCTTGCTAGACAGACTTCGCCAAATGCTCCTATTCCTAGTGTCTTTATCTTCACAAACATAGATTTGTCCATTTTAGCCCTCTTAAGACGGATGTAATTAGACTCTTTTTGGCAAAGCATCTTTCTCATTTGATCCTGGGCATCTTGAGATAATCCAACCTAGGCAAATAAGCTAAGTGTTAAATAAGGAATTATTTTCTATGCAAACAGAAGAAACTATTAAGAAACAGCTTGGAAAAATTCAGGCATATATTTAAAGGTTAAATGCATAATAATTTTTAATAAAGCATGTTAGAAATCTAGAATATATTTCAGAAAAAATTATCAAAAGTGCAGCTTAAGGGAGTAGGAAGATATACAAGGTGAGTATGTAAGCAGATTCTGCTGTACAGAACAAGGGGTGATACCAACAATCAGCTTTCCACTCCTCTCTAATGCACTAAAGAAAATTCTCAATGTGCAATAACCAAACATCTGTTCACATGCATCCTCATCTATCCCTCCATGCATATTCATCCCAAATTACATGATCAGACTGTCTTCATTACATGTTTCTCTTCGTAAAATACCTAGGTCTCAAATATTCTTCCTCCCACTTTATCCTTCATGAAAAGAAATTCTTTCACTCCAAGTTCATTTATCCTAAAAAAGTGATGTATTAAGAACAAAAGAGTATCTTCTTTAATCTAACTACTGTCAGTCTTTCATCTTTCTCAAGACGTTAGGGTAAGGGCAGGACTCACAGCCATCACTAACACAAAATGCAAAGGGTTTCTCCTACCATATTTAAAAGGAACAACTTGTGTGATTACAGGGTATCTTTTAGATATTCTGGAACATTTCAAAGAATAGTCAGTGCGACTTAGGATGATGCCAAAACACAGATAAAAACCAAGACCAACTTCTAAGCAGACATGAAATACCTGGATTTAGAAGGAAAGAATAGTTTATTTTTTGGCTAGCTAATAACTAATTTAAGGGTTAAAACAGAATAGGAATTTAATTTAAAAAGTAAAGTCTAATTCTAGAAACACAAGACTAATTAAAATATAGCAACCTCATGCTTTTGTTAGGATGTGCACTTGCATGCAAAATCTTTTAAGAAGGGTGGCGTGCCAGACTTAATATAGAACTTTGTCTTAAAATCTTACTTGCCTACAGAGTAATGGAGGCTACAGAAGTCAGCAAAGCTTCCAACACCATAAAAGTTTAAATCAGCTATTAGTGGAAAGTGAAGAGGAAAAAGGAAAAATACACTAAGAAAATACATACAGACAGACCTTAGTAAGAAATCCTAAGAGCTAAAATATGAATATGCCATACCCATATTTATCTAACAATTCAATTTATAGCAGGAATAACAACACTATGAAATCAGATTTAGAGAAATAATTTAAAAAGAATGGCTTTTGTAAGTTGTGTGAGGAAATTTCAATACAAATTTAAATTTCTTGGATTTTGAGTGATAGATGTAATATTAGGAGTCAAACCCTTGAACTGCAAACACGTGATAAAAATAACAATGATGACAGTACCATTGTTATATCTAGTGAAGAGATCTATATGGAATCACAATGGAGATAAAACTTATTCTGATCTCTTTTTTTGGATTTTGATTTAATAATTTCAGCACATTTTCCCAGTTCTAATACACTATGAAAATGAAATTAGATGGGTAAACAGAAGGGAGATGTCTCTAACACTTTCAAATAAGACCAATCCAATAAATAAACCCACAAGCTCAAAACTACTAAGTAAAAATAAATGTTTCATAAATTTATCAAGAGATGAGACCCAGATATTTCTAGATCATTTTAAATGTTATAAGGTAACATGTAAAACCTAAACAATACCCCTTGTTCCAATTTCCATATACAGGAATCATTTATGCCTTAACTGTATTTTTCTCAATTTATTAGAGGACTTCATTACAGAAAATTCTGAGTAAATCTTAAAGTACTAAAATAAAATGCTATAATCAAAATATTTTAATGTTTACTGACTTTTAAATAGTTGATAATATATTTAGCTACAAAAAGAAAAAAAAACATTTTTAAGCACCAGGCAAACAGATGACCAAGTAAAAAATGAACATTTTAAAAGGTTTTACCCGCATCATTTCATTCTCCAATTGTTTTTTACGATGTAGACGCTGCTGATGAGATTTGAGAACATTTTCTACATGTTGCTCCATATAGAATTTAAATGCCTGAGGAGAATAACTTTGAATACGAGATTCCCTTCGCTCTTCATCTTTCTTGTTTTTCCTAACGGTGATAGGTGAAGTTGTAATCTGTTTCTTTTCTTTATCCCCACTATCAACACTTTCATAACTTTTTTCACCCTCATCTTCCTTGGGCAAGCCCGGCTGATCCTCTTTGTTAGGTTTATTGATTGATTCATATGGAGGAACAGGTGGGTTTTGGTGTAGCAAATGTTTTGGATAAGGTGGTGGTGGACCTTGATAGTTTGGAGCTTCAGCAACAGGCGGCATAACAGTCATATTTGAAGTAGTACCCTCAGAAAAAGGACTAGGTTGAACAGTTTGAATTGGCTGTGGTATCCAAGAAGGGTGTGTAGGTGCTAAAGCAGTCTGTAGTTCTGGCTTTAATACGCGTATGCTTTTCACGGGCTGTTGAATTGGAGCTGGTGTAATAGCAGTGACTGTTGTAGCGGAAGGCTGAGAATTAGCAGAATGACTTGTTCTATTTCCTAATGGGTTATTAAAAGAATTTGACCTCACTGGTATGTTAGGTTGCCATGTAGGGATTTCATGTCCAGTGCTTGGGGATGACTGGGCTGGAGCTGAAGATGACTGAGGCCAAGTTGTTTGCAGTCCAGGAACATTAATGTTATAAAGTTCCATGTTATGACTATTCCTATTTGGCACCATCATAGACTGAGGAATATTTCCATTTGTATATGATGAAGGAGCAGCAGATCCCCCTGTCTGTCCATTAGTTGGGGTCAAAGGATACGGAGGGGGTGGCTGCCGATTCACCGCACTAGCAGGGACATTTTGGTGTATCATAAACTCAGTTTGACCACTACCATTCTGAATTCCAGGTCTCCCTGGTGGGAAGTTATATTTATTAGAACTCTGCATGATAATTGGTTGTCTGCCCACAGGAACAGAACTAATGCCTCTCTGTCCTTGATTAGGAGGATTCATTGGGGATGTGTTCAGAGGTGATGAAGGATAGCCCTCCTGCCAGGCTCCAGGTGGAACAGGAGAAATTCTGGAGATTCCATATTCCATATTCCCAGAGTAGCGTTTCGTTTGAGGGTTTGGTTCCCAGGAGGGGGGAGGTGGAGTTGTACCTCTAGGAGGAGGAGTCTGGCCTCTTGGGGGCGGTGGAGGAGTGACACTCCTTACTTGAGGAGGTGGAGGGGGGTTCACTCTCTGTCCGTTGCTAGGGTGAGCTGGAGCAAATGCTGTAATACCAGATCCTGGCAAAGGTTTCCCTACATCTGTCTGCGAGTTGGGACTTTCAGAACGATAGGCTGGACTTTCTCCCAGTGGTGGGCCATGTCTCTGAGGAACTAAGGATTCTTTAGAACCTTTCCAGCTTTGTCTGCGATTAACTGATTGTTGCACACTCCCTACGATCATAAAACAAAGAGAGGAAAAAAAACATTCAATCTCTTATTTTTGAAAAATTTAGCTGGGAATTCTGACACTACTAAATAATAATTCCCTTTCAAGAATTATAAAAATCAAATTTCAGTAAGTGGTTTCATTTTACCTTTTAAGTTTTTATTTATTTTTGACTAGGTAATACATTCTCATAACTCAAAATTCAAAAGGTACAAAAGAATACCCACCCCTGTCCCTTAGCCAATGAGTTTCCTTACTTGATGGTAACCAATCTCATCAGTAAAATATTTTAGGGAAACACAAGTAAATAGCATACCTTCTATATATTATTGTGCCTTGCACTTTCCATTAAAAAACTGAAGATTCTGTATCAGTATATAAAGTGTTTTCGCTTTAAAAAAATGTTATCAGTTTTTCACAGTATGGATAAACCTAAATTTAATCACTTACCCTACTGATGGATATTAAGGTTGTTTCTAGTCTTTTGTTTTACAAAAATGAAAGAGAAAATTTGTACAGATTTCATTTCAAACATATGTGAAATATATAAATAATTGGAAGTGGCATTAGTGAGCCAAACATGTCCATTTGTAATTTTGTTAGATACAATAACTAATTTTAAATATATTTCAATATGGCTTTTCAAACAAAAAAGATAGCAGGGCATTATTAACTGAACATTAAATAAAGTGTCGATATGACAGAATCTCTCTTTAATGGAATTTTTGAATAAATGAAACAGGAAAGACAGTATATGATATAAATAAAAAGTACTTAAAATAGTTTTGCCACTTGAAAAAAGATATATAATACATTATACATAATATAAAATACACTTTTAAAAAAACAGTAATATAAATTAATACATTCCAGAAGGATTAAACATTTAAGTGTTAAAGACAAAACCATACAAGTACTAGGAAAAAACAATTGATCATTCAATAATATTGGGGTACTTTTTTGGAAGGTCTTCCCAAGCATAACAAAGGTAGAAAGCATAGAGTAAAATACTAACAGATCTAAACACTTATCACCATCAAAACAAAACAAAACAGAAAACATCCACAAATTTGAAAGGTCAGCATCATCCTAGGAGAAAACATATTTAATAACACATATGAGAAAAAAGTAGAATATGATCAGAATGTACAGTTTAACACTATAATTCATGTAGGCTGGCCAGGATCTTAGGTCTATGACTTCAGGGAAAGACATCACTCTGGGCAAGCTGGGCAAGTCCTCTGGCCACCTTCCTCAGATAGTCAGCTGAGGCTGAACACACCAAACGACTCACGCAGCTTTTACCAGTTAAGATGTAAGACACCACAACCCTAGAGTAGACCGCCATCCCTATGGTTCGGTACCTCCCATAAAGCTCTGTGTTCTCCCACCTACCAAACCCTGCCACAACTGCCCTCTAGACATGCTCTGCTTTAAAACCAGCAAATGCTCCTACATCATTAGCCTCTGCCCCAACCTCTTTAAAACCATCTCCTTACAGCTGGTCATCTTCTTCTGACATTACTTTCATTTCAGCCCTTTGAATTAAGGTTATCTTTAAAAATACATTGGCTAGCCCTGGCTGGTGTGGCTCAGCGGCTTGAGCACCAGACTGCAAAGTAAAAGGTCGCTGGCTCAATTCCAAGTCAGGGAACATGCCTAGGGGGTTGTAGGCCAGGTCCCCAGTAAGAGACAAATAAGGGGCAACCACACATTGATGTTTCTCTCCCTATCTTCCTCCCTTTCCCTCTAAAAATAACTAAATAAAATCTTTAAAAGTATATATATATTGGCTAAAATGTGGGATTCTACCTCTCTGCTCCTCATTTATGTTTCCAGATTGTTGTTTTCATTTAAACTCTTTTTTAAAAGCCAGCTCTTTGGAAACTCACGCTCTCTGGGAAGCTGGGTTCATTTCCTTTACCTAGTGAACTCTTGCTTGTTCGCCCTAAATCACAGGTAACTTTGGTCTACCTTAAGCCTTGCCAATTGCCAACATTCTATAACTTTTTTAACATCCACATGAACAAATCATCCATAACCCTTACCTCTCAGTTCCTCCACTCCACCTCAAATATCACTCCCAAAATCACACTTCTATTTTGATACCATCCATATCTACTTCTTTTTCAAAATCACTAATTATTTACACTCTCAGACAACTTCTCTCTCTCCTATTTTACTACTACTGCAAATGTTCTTCAACCTCATCCAGACCTATTAACCGCCTACTTCATCAGTCCTCCTTTGTCCTTATGGCACACTGTAACCAATTTAAATCCATGGGACAGCCCCGTCTTCCCACCGTATTCCCTTTCTCATCTCATTTCTATTAGTTCACTAAGTATCTACTGAGCACCTATATGCCAGGCACTACGCTAAGCAATCCAAGTACACTGGTGAACAAGATAGCATCCCTGGTCCCAAGGACCTACATTCTTGAGGAGAAGACTGGCAATAAGCAAGTAAATAAATAAACAAGGTAACACCCGGCTATGATGAATGCTATATGCAAGAAATATAAATGGTGTCAAATGATAGACAGTAACTAGAAAATAGACAGGGATGAGCCAGTGGTGAAAGGCTTCACTAAGTACATGACATATGATCTAAGTCTGAGCCAAAGTCCTGCCATAGGAGCTTGGTACTTTCCAAGAACAAAAAGAAACACAGTATGGCTGGAGAGTAGGAAGTGAGGGAAACAGTGGTACTAAATGAAGTCTGAGAGTAACAAAGGCCAGGCAGAGGAGTTTGGAAGGAATGAGAGGCCACTAAAGGCAGAGGAAGAATATGCTCTGGTTAAGGATTTAGATTACCCTTTCAGCAATATTCTGAACTTCCTTTAGCTCTTTTTCGTATTTTGTACTTGTTTATTAGTAAAACTCCAGTTATAGATTACTCCTGCTAGAGAAGGTGATGTAAAGAGCAGACTGATTCCACCATATATTCATGATCGGCATCATCAAATAAATGGCCCATGGTTTCTTTCGGTCCCCCCTAAGACTCTTGCCAGTCTCCTCAAATTGCCTACCCCATTCCTCACCCATCACTCTTAGCAGACGACTTAATTTTATACTTTAGAGAAAACTGAAGGCATCAGGAAGGAATTCCCTTACCTTTCCTATGTAACCTAAGCCCACTTGCTCTGTTATAGCATAATGGTTGTTTATCTTCCTATGTAACGCTAATAATTTTTCATCCTATGCTTTGAATTCTTTCTTCTCTCAGCTTCCAAGACTTTACTTGACCCTTCTCTCCTGAATATTTAATTTCATCCTCTTAAGTGGAGTGTTGTAATTATTTTTTAAATTTGCCTGAGTCTTTTCTATGAAAAATATAACAATAAGGCTCTCCCTCCACTCCCATATAGACCACTTCCTCAAAGTACTGAGGCTGGTCCACAAACTGATAGTGGCACACACGAGATAAGTATGGAAGTTGAATAAAAATTCAGAGGCTTACAAAAACTTGACAAAATAATTCTGTCTGTTAAAATATGGTAATAAAATATTTGGACTTATATTTGGCATGTCATTTAAAATCGTAACTTTTCTAATAATTCATCAGTGTTTTATTTTATAAAATTACTAATTTGTACTTAACTGAAAATTACCAAAAAAGGATCTTAATCACAGAGAGGACGCATTACTCTTGCTAATGCTCACTTTATCCTCATACAAAACCTTCTCAAAGAATTATCTAGACTTGATTTCTTCATTTCACATCCATTTATTCCTCAACTCACACCAATCTGAATTATGCTCCTAAGACTGAACAAGAAAGTTACTCCACATGTTGTGGGCTGAATTGCATCCCCCTAAAATTCAGTAACTTCTCACTTCCGCTACCTCAGAATGTGACTATATTTGAAAATAGGGTCTTTAAAGAGGTCAACTTAAATAAGACCATATGGTAAGCCTTAATCAAATATGACTGGGGTCCTCATAAGAAGAGAAAATCTGGACACAGAGAAAGGCACCAGACACATGGGCATCCAGAAGGATGACCATGTGAAGACCCTGTGGGAAGCAGGGCATCTGTAAGCCATGGCGGGAGAAACCAAGTCTGCTGCCTCCTTGATACTGAACTTCTAGACTCCATAACAGTGAGAGACTAAATCTGTTATTTAAGGCACTCATTCTGTGGTGTTTTGCTATAGCTGTCCTAGCGAACTAATGCACCATGTCACTAAAGCCAGTAAGATATTTTTTATTTCTCACCCTGGTCAAGCTTTCTTTCCCTCAAGTCCCTCCCCTTCTTCTTCTTCTTCTTTTTTTTAAAGACTTTATTTATTTATTTTTAGAGGGGAAAGGGAGGAAGAGAGGAGACAAGCATCAATGTGTGGTTGCATCTTGCACACCCCCTACTGGGGACCTGGCCTGCTACCCAGGCATGTGCCCTACACTAGGAATCGAACCAGCAACCCTCTGGTTCACAGGCCGGCGCTCAATCCACTGAGCCACAACAGCTAGGACTCCCTCCCCTTCTTTAACATTCTCTTCAATAGGCTTCCAAGACACTAAAAACCTTACTGGTTTTTTAACTTCCTTTTTAGCTTACTGTTCTGTCTTTGCAGGCTTATCCTTTCCTAACAGCTACAAAGCAATAAGCTTGGTTCTCGTCCATCTTGTCATTTTTGCCTGTTACCTCCTTTAGGTGACCGATTTCATAAGCAAGGCTGATACAAGATCTGTACATACCTAGCTAGCTTCTTACTTGACACCCTCACCTGGATAACTCAAGAAGCCTCACTCACATGTGTACAACCAGACTCATGACCTTTCTCCGCATCCTGTTCTCTTAGTATCCTCTTCCACAATGCACTGGGTGTATCACTGTCCATCCATTTTCTACACCAAAAGCCTAAAAGTCAACCCTCTCCAGTATCATTGCCCATATGTAATCCATCACCAAGTCTTTGTCAATTTTACTCTTCCCATCTCTCTCAATTCAGTTACGGTTCTCCACTGCCATTGCCACAGTCCAGGTCACCTTCATCTCCTGTGAATTACTGTATCTCTTATCAAGTCTTATACCATCCCTTGCTCTAATCTGTTCTTCATCCACTGCAGCCATCTTCTAAAAATACAAATCAAATTGTGTCATACTCTGCTTGAAATGTCCCATAACCTCCTGCTGCTCTCAGGATAAACTCAATAGACAGCCCCACATCATCAGGTGCCTATGCACTTCTCCAGCCATATCTCATACTTTTGTTTTCAGGGCTCTAGCCATTGTCATTTCTTTAAATGTGGTACCAAAACCGGCCAAAGAGGACGTACATAAGGACACTCTTCCTCACTAAAGGCACCCCCTTGCCTTTCTTCAGGTATCAGCTCTATTATTAGTTTCATAGGAAGATTTTCTCTGATCTTTTTGATTAGGTCAAAAATCCCTCTATTATATGAGTCCACATCGCCTCTTCATTTACACCTATGCAGTCATAATTCTACATGTATTTGTGTGAGTATTTGATCTTCTTTACTAGAATGTCAGCTCCACAAAAGGGCAAGAACTTTATAACCAATGCCCAGCAAAGGGCCTGCAACAGTGGTTGATGACTAAAAATGCGCTGAATGAAAAGAAAACTGAGTAAGGCCTCTCATAAATTAATTTAAAACCCCACAAGATTAACAAAGAACTAAAATGCCAATTCAAAAATAGCCTATAAACAAATGTTCGGCCCCACCAGTGATCAAAGTGAATGTAAAATGAGATAGCATTTATACAACCATTAAATATACAAAAATAATAATACCTTGGACTTACAAATATAGACCTTCTCATATAAAATGACTGGGAAAATATAACTTCGTAACACCTTTCTGATAGCAAAATCTAAGGGAAACCTTAAATTTTTGCAGGTCTTTAACAATTTAACAAAATCACCAGGAATGGACAAATATTTAGGTACAAGATCATTTAAAGCAAGGCTGACTATAATAACAAAAAAAAAAAAAAAAGGAAACAAGACAAATGGGAAAACTGAGAGAATGGTTAAATAAAGTATGTGATAAATCTATTAATATCATTCCACTTAATAAAAAAAGTTATGCATGGTATATTAAGTGAACGAAGTAGGTTTTAGTATGATCCTTTTTTATTTTTTATTTTTTTGCTTAAACAGAAGGATCAAAATACACACATATAAACCCACTCAGGTTTTCCACAGGAAAAAAGACTGAGAAATAAAATACACCAAACTCTTGTGGGTATTAATAGTGTTTTCTTTTTGTTTATTACTTTCTAAATATTCTATGATGAACATGTTACTCATATAATAAAAAACAGTATGAATAATATTTGTGGTTAAAAAGAAATAGTTCAGTTGCAGTATAACCAATCAAGTAGTTCTCAAGGTAGATTGCTGCCCACCAGAACTTTAGGGCCCATTCTCTTATTCATTTTGTATAGTGTGACACTGTAACCTTTCTATTCTAATTTGAGACTTTCACCTACCGTGATGCCTTTAACCATTTCTCAGACTAAGGATTTGATCTATGTATATTTTAAAACAATGCTATAAAATACAAGAGTGGGGGAAAGATTTGATTAATCACCTGGTTTCAAACTGGCATTAATAGGTCTGGCAGCTGCCGTAACCATCTGTTCCCGTCGAGGATCTTGGTAACTCATTTTACTAATGAATTCAATCGCAGCTTCTATACTTCTGTTATTAGTTTTCTGAAGAGCTTGTATAACCATATCCTGATATGAAATTTGAAAAAAAGAAACAAAATTTAAATCTTGTAATTAATAAGAGGGAAAGAGCACTGAGTTACACTAGAAAAATTCATAATTATGCAGAAGAGCACCAAAAAACCATAATGTTCATGTCCCATTTGTAAAACTACTATAAAAATCCACACATTCACAAATTACTAAAGAAAAAAAACAAACCCTCAAACCCTTCAACTGTTTAGCATTTTCACCTCTATATAACATATTAATTTTTTTTTCTAGAATTAACTTCTTCCACATACACTTGTAGCAATGATACTAATTACTTCCCATTCTTAGTTTCATTCTCACATGAACAGAGACTATCAGATTGTTCAAAAGGTATCATTCAAAATACTGAACACCACTCTTTCGTATTGCTAAAGCATTTTATTAAGCATCTTGGATATTGTGTTCACAGTGAAAAAGCTTCATAGCTCTGGTCCCTATCCTCCTTGGGCTTACGTTTTCAGAGAACTTTACTTACAAGGACATAAACATAGGACAAATGATACAAGAAAAACACTTCAACAACATATGATTATGTGATGACTTTAGGAGGCTAGATGGCATGATGGAAAAACCAGAGAGTTTGAAATCAAACAGAACTGAGTTTGAATTCCAGGAGCCCCACATTACTGTGCTTTTGCTTTTCCTGCTCATAAGCAAAACCACACCCCCATGACTGTAGATTTATGTGTCCCACTTTTAGAACCATGTTAACTCTGGCAAGTTATTTATCATTTCAGAGCTCAATTTCCTCATCTGTCATGGACTAACAGAGCTGATGTGAGGATTAAATACAGAAACACGTAAAAGCACCTTAGCATAGTGCCTGGAGCTCAGATGTGGGTTGTCCTCCTGCTCTGCTCCTTGTCCTTTATGTATATGTAAACATGAATTATATACTAATGTGCAGGAAGTATACGGATATGCATTTCTCAAGAGACAGGCTACTTACTTGTCCTAGAGATTTAGTATTTCAAACAGTTTTAAAATCAGAAGTGGCTCAGTGAGACTAATGGTTGAACAAGCTAACAGATGATCCTGCTATGTGAAATGACTGGAGACGAGTGTGAAACCAACCAAAAAAAAGTTGTGGCAGAGGTCTATTGCCCACTCAAGATCCATCCTCCCTTTCTTGGAAAAAGTTATTGAGTAGGTAGAAGTTTTCCTTATAGCTACACTGGCCACATGATAATTCTAACCAATGAGGCACAAGCAAGGATTCCTGGAAGAATGTTGCTACCACTGCTCTAGGTACTGGTACTTATGTCCTGTTTCCTAGACAATAGATATGCTACCTGTTCTAGAGCATGTTGCCACCAAGTAGGAAAATTCAAGAAACTTCCTAGTCATTGGTTCTGAAACCTTTAAAAGACTGATCCAATGCTAGCAACCTAAATTGAGTCACCATTTTTTTAAAGTATTATTTGGATTTTTGTTAGAGCAACCACCCAATAGTTAACAGATACGAAGGTACAGTACTGGTCACATTTTATGCCAGTCAGACCCTGCAATTTGTAGTGAAATACAGATGAATTTAATGAGTCTCACTTTATGTACAAATACAAAATAATAAAAATCACCCCAAATTAAAATTCATCATGGAGTACTTAACTTTAAAACTGGTAAGTCAAGTGAACTGTAACTGTTATTTATGCTATTATCCCATAGCAGTACAATCTCAGTTGGTTAAGAAAATCGGCACCCACCCGTCCTTTTTCAATATGTTGTAACAATTACATTGTGGCAAAATGCACCAGAATTTCAGCCTGTGATGCTAGTGATAATTATACTGGCTTATATTCTTGAATACACAGGGTGGGGCAAAAGTAGGTTTACAGTTGTTTCTATGGAAAATAATACAATTAATAAATAATAATGCACAAATAAACTGTTTCATGTACTCACAACTGTAAACCTACTTTTGCCCCACCCTGCATAGTTAAAATATTTTTACATAAGTAACAGTATCAACCAAGTGTTCCTTAAGCAGGGGTGCTTATGACAGTGTAAAAAAGAGCAGCCTCAAATCAGTAACTTTTGAACAGAAGCTTTAAGTGATTAAAAAAAAATTCCTACATCACTATGTTTTTGCTTTTCAGGCTGAGAAGCAAAAATATACTCCAGTGATTGTAGATTTATGAGTCCTAAGAATACATCAATCCTATTTAACATATATTCCTATGAGGAAATTAATCTTGAAATACTTCAGAGATTTTAATTTTAAAAAGCACCAGAAACATATTCTCAAAACATTGTAACTGCCTTGCACTTGGCATAGCTGAAATGATAAAAATAATGCAATGAAAACTGGATAAGAATTTTGAAGTGTCAAGTTGGGATCTTGAATAAATTCTGCAATATAATAGGCAGCTATCAGAATTAGTGATTCAAGGAGGTAGTAGATGTAAATTGCCATATTCTTCATATCACAGTGGGTATAAATAATACCATTCCTTCATTATTTGGACAAATAGGATTGATAAATATCTAAATGCTTTTAGTAATGCAACTTTACTTAAGTGCTTACAAATGTCATAAGGTGGCAACTTTGAAACGGGGGATGGTACTAAAGCTAACATACCTTGGTAATGCAAAGCAATTGTTATTGCCAACCCATAAAAGAATACGGCATTGACCAATGTCTTAGATTTCTTAAAACAGTCTGCACTGGAAAGAATTTTTAAGTTCTTTATAAGTATGAAATACGTTTGGTATGACTATCATCAATGATGGGGAAACACATCAAACAAAAAACTACTAAACAAAAAACATCCCAGGTCCTCTCTCTCTACTCTCTGATACAAATGCAGTATTTTTAAAAAACGTATCCATAAAAGTGATAGGAAGTAATATTAATCAAATGGATGAATAAAATGAGCCAGAAAGAATCTGTTTTCTTCCTAGTTTAATTATAAATCTCCCTTTTCAAATCCTTTATTGTAATGTCAACTTAGGCTCTCATTTTTTAAATCAGAGATCTGAAAATGGGGTTGCCAAAATATTAACACTAGTGAAGGAATCGTAAGGGTAGTGATCTTTGTGTTGCAAACCTATAAGTAATGTTCAGTTCTTTTTCATACTTTTTAATTTTCAACAGGGAATTGCTATAGTTTTATAATTAGGAGAAAAAGGTCCTATACTTGTAAAAGAGAATGTAGTTAATGCTTGGTTATTCACATTTAGGTATATTTTCAATAGCCAATTTTTATCTAAAATGACTTATGCCACCTACAATGTTCAAATAAAGTATATGATTATAGAAAATAAATTGCATTAAGAACCTAAACAAAATATGGTTAAATATATGTGCTATGAAAAACTTTTTAAATGAACTCTGAAAGTAAATACTAAAGACCTGGCATATTTAACATACAGAAATTTCATTAAAATAAAACTGAAATTCTTGGAGGTTAATCAACAGGTATATATTTGGCTTTTGTGAATTCAGCACTGCAGTCCAAGAGTGATGTGAATATAAATGTTTAATGAAGTCCCTGATGGAGTTCCTTTCTCTGTAGTATAAACTCAAACTCCATATCCTCCCAGCTGTCATTTCTACATCAGCCTCTCAGCTCAGTTCCTAGCACACACAGATGTCCTTACTCTGCCCTCACCTGGGGCTTTCTTCAACTGCACTTCTACTCTAACTTCATGGCTTGACCTTTTAAATCCCAGAAACCACAGAGAAACTAAAGAAATAATGATTGTTTTGTTTTAATAATTAATGGGATTGTGAAAAACATTTTTCGCTGGTAGAATATACAAGTTTATATACATGTTATATTCTCTCAAAGGAAATGTTTAGGCAGGAGATCACCAAAAACGTGTAATGTAGTACAGAGTAAAAAAGAGCCTCTTTGTTTTTAAAAGCTTACCTCATCAAACCCAGCAGCTTGTAAGTCTTGAAACATTTGTGGATTAACCTCTGAAGTACTGCGACTTGTTTCATTTGCAAATGGTTGTAGAGAGTTTCGAATTTCCAGCAAAGCTTTATGATGAGTCCCAAATTTGGGTGGATTTCTGACTTGTCGAGGATCTTCAATCGACATTTTACTCATGTTATGCTCAGCTTTTGCAGCATCAGATGGTTTGGATAAATTCCTAAGGGATTCCCGAATTTCTTGCAGCATTTGCCGGCTGCTGCCAGTGTAGTTACTGGCAGGAAAGGTCTTAGGCCTCATTTGTCTATATCCTTCTGGCTTTTCACTTCTCTTCATGAAAACATCTATATTTATAACCCACACAAAAGACTTTAGGAGCCACCTGATAGGTTCAGAGTCTTCTCTTGAGCAAAACTGCAAAAGATCCTTTGCAGAAGTCCTCTGGAATGTTAAAATTCTTTATCATTTAAATAATTAACCCTATAAAAGAAAAGATAAATGAAAGCTATAAATTGATTAACTGATTAAGTAGTACAGTGAATCAGACGGGGGAGGGGGGGTCATTGATTTAGAAGGTAGAGACCTAGGTTAAATTGGCTCATTATGCATTACTGTTAACCTCTCCATGCCTATTTCTTAATCTGTAAAATTACCTAAAGTAGTGGTTATACTGATAAAAAAACAATTTTAAGAGTGCCTTGGTAAGTACTGAAGTACATACAAATGCAAGGAATTACTAACTGCACAATTCATCGGGCAACCTATCATCAACTTTGACTAGTAGCTCCAACTTTAGGTTTTATATGTTAGACTACAAATATGTCTTTAGAAAAAGAGTGTTGTACCTTTAAAAAGGTTTCTAAACCACTAGTCCAGAAGATACCTTTATGCTTTAAAACAGATGCTTGGGTTTCTTTCCCAAACTGTGGCCAGGGACTCTAGTCACAGGACACTTACTAACAATGGGAAGGGAAGAGAACCTCTGAAGACCAACTGTCTTATTTCTCACGTAATGCATGACTGTCTTCTACAATACACTGGAAGAATAGTCTTCTAAAGTCTACTTAAATGACCCTGATGACGGGGGAAATCACTAACTTAAGAAAGCCATTCTCTCTGTGATCTACAAAAATTGTTAGAAATGTTTTCTTTATGTGGAGCATCATGAAATCTCACTTAGGGCCAGCCTGTGATGAACCAGTGCTAAAAGTACTTTGTCTTCATTCTTATCTAACCATCCTAACAGGCCTGTGAGGTAGGTTTACTACCTATACTTTGTAGAAAAGGAAACTGACATCCACAGAGTTTGGGTGAAGCAGTAAGTGATATCACTGGGATGTGAACATTGCTAATTATCATCTACAGGGAGCCTATTTCTATTCTCATTAGATATACTCACCACTCGTTACATAAAAGGTATTTATAGACAGAAATATCTCCTTCTTGTCATTTAGGCCTCATTCCTGTTACCGCCTCAAAGACTCTTCCCCTAATCACCTCATTACCTTGTTTTTTGTTTTGTTTTGTTTTGTTGTTTAACTATCAATGCATGGTTGCCTTTTGTGTACCTCCAACTGGGGACCCAGCCACCAACTCAGGCATGTGCCAACAGGGACTTCATGAAGTAAAAGACAGGGAGTCGAACAGGTAGCCCTTTGGTTCACAGGCCAACACCCAATCAATCCACTGAGCCACACCAGGGCTGATTACCCTGTTTTATTTTGGATATACTCTAGTTTGTCAAAAAAAGCAAAGCACTTGCAATGGAAAAACAAAAAAATTATTCAAATACTTGTTCTATTAATTATTAGCAATGTGAACTTGAACATTTAATTCTCTCATAAAACTGTCTGCTTAGGGATGAAATGGTTGGAGTAACAAGGTTTACCTTATGGTTTGAATGAAGATTAAGAGGAACAATGTAATACAATTAAAGGCATATATGCACAAGCATTATAAGATGTAGACTGTTCCTTGCAACAACATCTATAACAGAAAAAAATGACATCAATCTAGATACTCATCAGTAATTGTTCAAGTAATTTATAGTACATCTATATGTGATAAAGCAGATGTTAAAAAGAATGACATGGATATTTGTATTCTTAAGCAAAAAAAGCAAGTTGCAAAAAAAGCTGTTTCTATTCTAAAATTAGATTATGGTGATGTTGTAGAGCCTGTAAATAACTGTATATTTTAAATGAGTAAACTGCATGTATTAAATTATATTTATGGATACTCATCACGTACGCACATGCGTGCATACTGTAGCAGGCCTAAGCAGGATGAAGTCCTGGAGCAAACTACTGGAGGCGCAGGTTCCTGATGACTTCACCTTAATGATCACCACATTCGTTGTACAATTGCTAAATGAGTAATGAATCAACCAATTCCACCTCACAAGCAGTCCTCATGTCCCCATTTGTGAAAACAAAAATAGTAAAGCTTCTCATTGTGTTGCTGAAAATTACACATATTCTGTCTATACCATAACCCGATCTACTGATAATTACTTCACAAATGAAATTAGGACTGACACAGCTTGTGCTTTTATGAAGAAAGATGGTCCCTCATGATAAACATTTTGTCCCTAAGCCTTCCCAAAATATTAATTTAACAGCTCACTGGTGAACTTTTATAGGTTTAACATTTAGCTTACCCTCTGAAGAGGGAATATTCCCCCAAAGCTCACACTTCACCTGTGGCCCAGGATAGCAATAGAAAAAGGATGCCCAGGTGGTTACTGCAGACTAGTTCAGGTGGTTACTGCAGAATAGTGGCCAAGGGTTCACAGTGAACATGGGACAGAAGTTCCTCCCTCTATAATTGAATAAAGGTCCAACCAAGGAACCTCTCCTCCCTCCAGGTCTGGTTGCTTTCACAAGATCTGCCTACAAAGATTTCAAAATTATTATAGATCAAAAATTGCTCTCTCTCATTCTTTTCTTTTTCTAATCCTAACGATTATTATGGCCCTCCTATTCTTGTTCTCTCACTGAATACTCTGGTGAGTGGGGAGACAGAGAACAAGAACAAAAATAACTTCACAGGTCTCTGGACCAAGAAGAACCATATCTGGACCCGATGGAGAGACCACTGGACATACGGCCCAGAAGCAATGACTCTGGCTACTGCAGCTAACAGCCCAAAATGCCAGCAAAATAACGACACGATACTATGAACATCCCTCCGTAACAGTAAGTACAATGTTTTCTTGATTCTAAGATGCATCCTTTTCTACACTCTAATGTGTCTAAAATTGAGTCTATCATAAAAGCAGTATTTAAAGAAATTTGTTGGCTCCAAAGCAGAGAAGTTCTGATACAACAGACAACGCACATAGCTAACTTGAATATAAATAGAAGGCAAAATTTCCTTGTCATTTCAATTGTCTTTATTTTCATCAGCAGCACCATGTATGGTTGAATCTAAACCCTTAATTATGCTCAAGATGTCGTCAAACAGATTGTACTATGATGTAGCATTACATACTCAGAAACTACTTGTCACCCAACAGACAATGCAATCAAAGGCATAAACTGCCAAATTTAGGCAACATTAGAGAATTTTCAAAGGAGAGAAAGGCTCTTATGAAGTAAAAGACCTCAAATATGAAACACCTGTCAAAACTTACTATTATCCATCCTCCCTGGCCAGTATGGCTCGATTGGCGTATCATCCCATAAACTGAAAGCTCTTGGGTTCGACTGCTGGTGAGGGCACATGCCTGGATTGCAGATTTGGTCCCCTGTCAGAGGGTGTATGACAGGCAACCAATCAATGTTTCTCTCACACAAAGATATTTCTCTCCCCATCTTGCCTCCCACCTTCTTCCCTCTCTAAAATCAATAAGCATGTCCTTATGTGAGGATTAAAAACAATTTATTATCTTCAGAAGCTGTTTAATTTCCAGCAGTAACTCACTCCACTAAGCAAAAAACAAAACTAAGAATTTAAACAAAAAGGAACGAAATACAAAACCCATTATTCTTCAATATGCCTCCAAATTATATATTAAATCATAAAGACAAGAGGTTCAAAATAATTAGGGTTACGAAAAGCAGCATAAAGTCATGTTATGTGTTAACTACCCAAAGTAATTCAGAAGCAGCCTACATTCTCAATGTGAATAAGGCTGAGACTCCATCTTTCCTAAAAAATTAAGGGACAGAGACAAAGATTGTGTTGTTCTTCTTGGGAGATCCCATGCTATTCTAATGCCTCCTTCATGAACCTTTCTTACCCTTCTGCCAGTTCTTACCCTTCTCCCCTGAAATCTACATGCACTTTGCATGGTCAAATAAAATGTGTTTTTGCCCTATACTTATATTTGTCTTATTCTTCCCACTAGTTTACAGATTCAGAGAGTAAAAGGTAATATATATATACACATATATATCTATATATATATAGATATCTGTACATATATCAATATATATACAAATATATTTTCCCCCTCTGCCCAGATGAGTTAATGGATCCAGAGAGGTAAGGCGGCGCCTGCCAGTTTGAGGTCAGGCTAGGAATCGATTTCACACATTCTGAATGAGCCCAGTGCTGTTCTCATCATAAGTACATTTTGAGTTTCTTAAAGGTAGGGATTTGGACTCACTTATTCTTTGAAAGGACACTTAGATTAGTTAGACCGAACAGACAAAACCTCCATTTCTTTAAAAGTTCAGACTTTCATCTAATATGCAAATGTCAGGAAATCCAAACAAATTTTGTTGCTATCTTGTCCAACCTAGAAAAAAAAACAGGTACCATTACCTAAAAAAGGTTCCACAGTATTACCGTGGGTTGAATAAGGTTTAGAAAAAAGTAGGCCTATCTCAGTGCTCTAACTAAACCAGTTTTGAGAATAGCAACAGAAATAAGTACTGTTTCTATCTTAGCAGCATAGTCTTAGTTGTTGAGACAGCAATATTAAAAAATCTCTGCATAATGATGAACTTTTTTTCAGTTAGCTTCTAAGAATTAACTAATCAAAAGCAAAGACAATCACTGTAACTTAGCTTCACGCTGAAAAATCATTGACATTTCTACTTAATAAAAATGTTTCAATGACTAACTTTTGCAGCCTACAAAAATCCACCACTAATCTAAATCTAACATTTTGAATGAAAACTAAATAACCAGAGTTGGAACAGTTCCAAGGCGATGTTTACGCAGAACATCAAGGACTAGCATGAACAACAAAAGACAAAAATAACTCAAATTATAGAAAAAAATCCAGATACTATGACACTAAAAAAAATGTAGCAGTATTTTTTTAATTTGCTTTTAGACCCCGGCAAGCATGTTCAATAAATATGCAGGCATGGAAAGGCTGCATCTTTTCCAGTACCTACCATGATCTAGATTCTTGCAGTAGCAGCTGACCAGAGGCACACAACGCTACTTCTTTTACTGTTAAATCAAATTCCTCCACTGCCTTAGGGAATCAGTTAGCTTATTTTACCTCTCTCTCAAATTATTTAAGGAAAGAAATGAACTTAGTTAAATCACAAGTGTAGATGTCTTAGCAGAGAACATTCATTCTGATTATAATGAATAATTATATTTCTAACTCCTGATGGACGAGATTTGATAAAAATTTATAAACTTCCTACATAATCCACAAAGGCCTGACAAGCTTCATGATCCCAGGCATTCAATCCATCTCCCAAACTGGAGTGGTACAATACTATTTGTGCGTCCAACTATACTTATTTCTCCCTAGGTTTATTAATAGCTTGTACACAATGACATCTTTTCAGCCATATTAACATATGGGTCGAAAAGCACTAAACTTCGTTCCCTTACAGAGGTGTCCGACCTGTGGCTCCCGGGCCCATGCGGCTCAAAATGGCTATGAATGCGGGCCAAGACAAAATCCTAACTGTACTTAGCACATTATGATTTTTGTGGGATTACTTGTCAAAATGTATTTAATGTGTGGCCCAGAGATGCCAAAAGATTGGACACCTCTGCATAAATTTCAATTGAGGACGAAAATGGGGTCACCGGAGAATCACCCTCTAAGATACAAGTTTTGGGGGGGGGGTTAAATAAATAAAGTTCCCTTAATATTCTTTCCATTTTCTGTATTTGTACACACTCTTACTAATACACATCCCTATACCTCTCCCATCCCTTCCAACTCTGAACAGTAACCTAACAAAACAGTGGACTGTAAAATAGAAATGCCCAGAATTTCTCCAACGTTCATCTAGGATCCGGTCTCTCTAGGATGCAAAGGGCTGTAGCTCTTTCACTGTGTCTTTCTTTCAGAAGCTCCTTTCACTTTCCTTGCTTCCGAAACACCGCTGACCCGAGCGCGCTGCGGGTACGTGTGGAGATGAGGCTCAGTCGCCCCAAGGCCTCCAGCAAAGCAGGTTCTTCACAGCTTAACCTGCACCTCCGACGCCGCAATGCCCGCGGCTCTGCCTCCAACACGGGGCGCGGCCAACCCTCGCTTCCCCGAGGCAGGGCTCCGCTCAGGCCCCTGCAACCCTCCAAGTCGGCCCCGCACCGAGCCGGGCCAGCCCGCCCGGCCGCAGCAGCCCCTGGAGCACCGCCAGCGGGCATGGGCGTGGGCCCCGGCGGCCACCGCCCGGCCAACTTCGGCTGCGAAGGAGAGTGCGCCCCACCCGCTACGCCGGCCCCGGACCTACCTGCAAAGGATTGCGGGGCTCCCGGACAGCGGCCACGGGCCGGAGAGGGGGCGCCGAGGCGGCCGGAAGCCTTCCCAGGGACCCTGCGTATCCCCTGAGGGCCAAGGCGGGGAAAGACGCCGGGGGGCTGCCGCGGGCCAGCGCGGCCCGTCGCGAGGGTCGCGGGGACCTTGCTCTCGCCTCAGCACCAGGACGTTGCCGCCGCCGCCGCCATTTTGCCTTCCACTCGGTGTCGCCGCCGCCGCACTCCGCCGCAGGTTTCCCGGATGTGGGCATTTCCCGGCGTCGCTTGCGCGGGGGCCGAGGACTGGGGGCTTCTCCCCGCTAGGCCGGCTGCCCGGTCGCCGCCCGAAGCCCGCCGGTCGCTGCTCTCAGGCTGCCAGCTCCTCTGCGTGTCCGCCAGCGGCTCCCCCGCCTCGCGCTCACTGCCCCGGTGACTCGCCCTGGTGCGTGTGACCGGCGCTCTCCCGCCCTAGCCCCCGCACCACCTTCAGTTTCACGCTTTTTTCTTTTCACTTGAACTCTTTCTCTGGACCGGAATAGAATAAAGATGCGCATCTCAAGGAGCTGAATTCTCAAAGGGAACAAAGAAATAACTTGCTCTCTGAAACCTTGCTGTGGACATCAGGATTCCTGATTTCTAAAAGCTTTGAAAAAAGATATTGCCTCTTTTTTCGCCGGTAAATCCGTGAGTATATTCTTGAACCGAGAAAGATGAACCGTTTAGAGAATTTTTTCTGCCAACCATATTGATAGAAGAAGAAATTATTGCCATAGAAGAATAAGTGTGACTCTGAGGTTTTATTTTTTGTTAAATAACATTGGAAATTTGGGATGGAATCATTGGGTGTCTGATGTTTGCAAGTACCGTCCACTCTTTGTGCGGCGCTTATGCCCATTCCGCCTCTTGAAAGTGTGTGCAGTTAATTGATCTTTGGAGATACCCCCGTTCGTCATTTTCCTACTAGAGTTTACTTAAAGATATTTTTAATGAAAGATTTCTCTTTCTGCTGTTACATGAATTACCAGCTACCATATCCAGAACTTCAAGTGTGAAAACCTGTGTAAAAAGGTTACATTCTCAGAGGACTTGGCTGAAAATCTAGGCCCCACGGCACAGTTTATACAAGCGAGAGGATTTGAGGCAAGGTGGGTCACTTAATAATAGCCTTAGCTTTTACTTTCTTCAGTTGGTAGACTAAGTAACCCCTAGGGTCCTTTTCAGCCTTAAAGTTATACGCATGTCCTATGCGCACCGCCCTGCTTGCCCTTTCCAGAAAGGTTATGTATCTGGAAGAGCATACGACCCACACTCTTGTCAGCTCTGTCACCAACACATGGAACTTCTTCACCTAAGTCTCTCAGATCTCTCGACGTGGAACGGCAAGTGTCTCCATAGGCTGCTGTCTTTGGGAAAAGGCCTGGGCAATTCAAGGAGCTGCGTTGAATTGGACTTTCTGGGAGTAGGGGCTTCATGCCTACCTAGTAGGGGGACAGAAGGGCAGGGAAGGGAGAGGAGTGAGCCAGAGGGGACCTACAATAACAGGTTAAAGCGGCTGGGACTCCACATGGGGCTGGAGGTGACAGACCGGAGAGCTGCCTGCAAGGGCTGGACAGCCTGAGAATGGCACCGTCTGCCATTCGTTTCGAGTATTTGTATTGCTGTGCTGCAAAGCCCTGATTCCGCTTCCGTTTGCTCAACTCCTCAATGCTTTATGGGAATGGTGCTATTTGGCGGCCACCTCCCATACTCGTGTGAACGCAGGAAAATGGAAGAAGCATAGAGACCGGTCGTGGCACTGAGAGCATAGCCCTCCCAAGGATTCGTAGAGTCTTAGGGGAAGGCTCTGCACTGCCATGAGCCCACACTTAGGGAGCGCAGTTGTATTCTACAATACCTCCTTGAAGGCAGGGAATCTGTATAAATTATTTGGAATTCTGATCAGATTTGTCTCTTCTCCCCGATTTATTCAAGCATTTGTTTCCATCAGTGTGGACTCATGGATATTTCAGATTGTTCCAACTTTGGCTATTGGGAGATTTTCCAGTTCCTTTCTGTGTCCTTTTGACGTACTCCCATTGTTATGTGCTTTTCTTTTTCTGAAGAACATCCTTACTTTTTGTCATGAAAGGATGCAGCAAGCTATCTTCTATATTTCCCACCACTCCAAGGAGCCCTGGTTCTTTTATTGGAGAATGGTATTAGAAACCAATTCTGGGGTTCATTGCTTGTATGACCTCTCTTGGCCAAGAGATTTCAAATTTTTCATTCCATACTATGTGCAGGGGTAAAAATTGTACAGCTTTGTTGCAGCTATTATTTTATAGCCCAGTATTAATTACAGTTTATTTTCATACATCCATGAACTGCACAGTTTGGAACTGAAAGCTAGTTTATTTATGGGCTCTGACAGGTGTGGCTCCGTTGGTCGGGCATCTTCCCAGGAAGTGAAAGGTCGCCAGTTCACTTCTAGGTCAGCGCACTTGCCAGGGTTGTGGGTTTGGTCCCTGGTGGGGACGCAGATGAGAGGCCAATGTTTCTTTCCCTCTTTCTCCCTTCCCCTCTCTACAAATAAATAAATAAAATCTTTAAAACTTCTATGTGGCCAGCCACATTCTGGTCTTTCTCCCTTCTCACCATGCCCATCCCTCTGTGGTTGCTTCCCTCTGTGTACCCCTCTGCTATGGTGAAATGTTTCGGGGGACTGTTTTGATGCTAAGAGGACTGCAGTCCAGGATGCAGCTGGTAGTTGGTCTACGCCGCCACTTATTTTAGTCACGGTTCAGAATGCTGTCAGTGAAATAGTTTAAAACTTGCTCGTCATAGTTTGGATCTCTGTAGGTTTCATAAGTGTAAAAAAAACAACGCATTGCTGTTGCTTCAGATCATCTAATTAGTTTGAGGTAGGCAGCACATTGATACCATAAGGTTAAATGATACAAACACTACAGTAGTGAATTTAATAAGCTTCACGGACAAAGTTCTAGAACAGATTATTAAAAGGATATTTCCACAACACTATGAAATAGAGCTGTTACAGAGAACAAGGAATTTTTCAATTATGCCAAAATTTTGATAACAGTTACAACACAGATATTTTCTCACAATAGTCTTGTGAACAAGAGAAATAGGGGAGAATGTCAGCAAATTAGACTGCTTTACAACTATTCCAGTGACTGTAGCCAAGTACCAAGGACTCACGTGTCACTGCTCATTGACTCCAGGGCGTGGACCTAAGCACTTCAGTCCATTTAACCGATTTTCTAACCAATGGGATGAGAAAGCGTACTGGTCCATTCTGAAAATAATTTTCTTCTCAAGAAAAGATTCAGAACGGATGGTCTATTCTTTCCTATACTGAAACAAGAATTGTCTTCTTAGGACCAGAACGATGGACCCATGGGAAAGGTCACAACTGTTTGCATTAATTCAGTATGGGAAGTATGGCTTAGGAGTATCGTGTGTGAAAACTTAATCGTTTAAGTTCAACTACTCAACAGTCTAATTGAGCAAAAGTCAGAATTACTAGAATAACCTAAGACAGCTTTACAATGGAGTACTGCACTCCAAAATCAGGATTTCTCGTATTCTCAAGTGAGGCAGACACCACCTGGAAAGTGTTCATTTCTGAAGGCACATTTTAAAGTTGGCCTTTGGAAAATGAGGGTATTTTTTAAAGGGAAAATAAGATTGTGACTTAAGTGCGGTTTGCACTGAGTCAGTGCGTAACATGGATCAGGGATTATCATACTATCAGTATAATTTGGGCTCTGCTCTTACGCTTGTGGTCCAGTAGGGGGAGAAAGGCTGCTTAACACACTGCTCTAAGCAGAATATAAACTGCACAGTGGGCCTTTGAAACAGTCGAATTTAGCCCAGTTGCAAGAGGCCAGGGAAGGCTGTCCTGAGAAAATGACACCTCAAAGGAGACCAGGAGGGTGAGCAGGATTTAGCCAAGTAGTGCAAGAAAGGTAGGAAGGGAACTCTGTCCATCAGAAACCATTGATGAAAGGATAGACGAAGAAGTTTTACACCAAAACCCCCCTGCTATATGTGGTTTTAAATATGTGAATTAACATGTGTGCGTGCGTGTGCGTGTGGCTCCTGTGGAAAGACAAATGGAAGTCCATTTCAATTCCGTATATGAAAGCTCCTTTATTTAGTGAAACTTCATGGTGAAGCACCCCAACATACCGCAAATTCAGTAAATGGAGTAGTGATGGGTCCTGTCTCAAAGCAGGTTCACATGATCATTTTATTAACCCACAAAAACATTATTCTACCTTTCTTACAAGACCCTCTGAGTCCCACTCACACACTAAAACCTGCCTTCATGGAGGTCCCAATGAGGAGAGGCAGCACAGCATATTTTCAGATACGTGGATGAGAACTTGTTGGGAGTGAATGTCATGGGAGGGATGATTAGGTTGGGGATGGCCTCCAAGGTGCCTTCCACCTCGGGGACCCTGCAGCCCTCCAAAAATTTATTTGATAGTGCTGTGAATAAGGGCAGTACAAGGAGCAACTTCATATGTTAGTTTTATTCCTACCACATAAAGCTTGTTTCTTATGAAATGTGTTGCATATAAATTATTCAAAGGTACTGTCTTTTACTTGATTATAAATGCCCTTAAACCAAAGCAAAGCGTCAGATTTAAAGCTGTTTCCAGTTCAAGCTAATAGTCTAAGTTTAGACACCTGGCTCCTTCCTTCTACCAATATTCAGTATGATGATTAAGGGAAATTATATACATTTCTATGGAAACTGAGATGGGTGCCTACATGTATGAAACCTGCAAACACTTCAGCAACAGATAATGCAGCTGAAAGCAGAGGCACAACAAGCTTGACACAGTGTATGTGGAAAATGTGCCACCAGGGATGTAGGCTCCTTGACTTCGAGCGAGGATGTTAGCCTGCTAACCGTGTGGAGAGGGTGCTTGCACCTGGTGGAGAGGGGTACTGTAGCTTAGGCCGCACGTACTGTAGCAAGACACCCACACGAAGGGAAAAATAGAGCCAAAGGGAAATTCACAGCTCTAATATTGAACTCATGTGTTTACTGGCAAGGAATGTGCATCTGTATATTTCATTTTTACAAAATAAAATTTACACATTCATTGATGGATAAAGAACATATGAAAGACAGTTGTCATAAGTACTTAAAATTTTCTTTTGACTCTATTTATTTTATTTTCTGTAATGAATTACTTTAATACTAAGTTAAAATCTTAAAAATTGGT